AATGTCTGCCCACGGCTAAAAATCCCCGATGTCAACATGGGTTCCGGTGCTGCCATATGTCAGACCTGAGTCAGCAGGGGATAATCCCGCTGAAATGTGCTGCGGGGCACCGCACGGCCACGTCACGATACCACCGTACCACGCGCGGGGCTTTGTCGGCATCTCCGGGACGGAGGTGCCCGGCACCGGGTACCGCACGCCGGATATGCCGCACCTCCCGCGCCGTGACGAATTCACTTCCGGCCAAACGTAATACCCAAGGCGGTCCGTGTTACACTTAAAAGTTCTGCAAAAAAATGTGATACATTATGCCTTTCAGTCTCATTAAATCTTTCGTTGTCCTCCTCGGCTCAAGCTAGAGCCCATTTCAAGCGTTAGACCGAGAAACGGCAACAAGATCGCCTTCATTACCACGTCCGCGGCGGCCCGCAAGCCTGGACCCGCGTCTTCCCAGCAGGCGTCGCACACCTCCGCTTGGCCGACCGCCAGAGTTGCCAGAGCGCAGTTGCCAGAGCGCAGTTGCCAGGCGAAGCTCCGCTTAGCGCCGCCGGAGGCCCAGAAAGCACCAGATGGCCGCGGCGGCTGTCGCCTGCCGGCCCCAGAAACCGTGCGAACGACGCGGCGCGCGCGCGCGCCTCTGTCGAAACGGCACGGCGGCCGGCGCGCGCCGGACCGTCGGCGGGCCGTGTCGACAGCGCCGCCGCGGCGCGGTGAGGCAACCCCGGCTGGACGGCGCGCCGGAGACGGCGGCGCCGCCCGGGGTGCGGCGCGCGCAGGGCGGCGGCACGCACACACGTCTGCACGGCGACGGCGGCGGCTGGGTCACGCCTGGCGAGCCGCTGACGTGATGTCGACGCGTTTGCGTGGGGTAGAGTTTGGCGTCGGGGGTCGCCGGGTTGTTGGTTTCCGTGTTTCAATAGGGACGGAGTTCTTGGGCACGCGATTATCGACCGGTCGATGCGATCCAACGTCAGCTGTCGATTATCATGGATAACCGACTTTCCGGTTCGTGCCACATAGGACACCATAGGAAATGCGAGTCAATCGGATCCTGCCCTAGGTCCTCCAGACACTATCCTCCAGACACTCCAGACACTACCCCGTGAATATCCAGAATCCTCTGAAGCTCCAGGAGCATGTGGGACAGATCCATACGCTGCAGGCACTCTGGCTTTCCCCGTTGGACGGCGCGCGGGAGTCCTGGCTGGCCAGGTGGCACAGCCAGCTAGTGTCGACGGTAATACTGACGGCGGCAATGTACCACCTGGTAAAAACCACCGGCGTCGTCGACCGGTCTCTAGCCCCCCCCCCCCCTCCCCCCCTCACGCAACCTGTTACTCCCATAACGGTGCTACTACGGCCTGGCGACTTCTGTCACAACCGCGAAGCCACGCGGCATTTCTCAACCGCCTCCGGCCATAACCCGGGCGCGCGTTGGCACACGGCCGGGCGTCGATTCAAAGCTCTGGCGCCTCGGCAACACGCGGCCGCCGTCTGGTCACCGCAAGGCCGGCCGTCGAAACTGACGGCCACGGAGCCGCGGCGCCCGGGGGTCCGACGAGCCGCGGTCGCAGGGACCGGGAGCTGCCCCGGGGTGTGTGTGGTGGGGGGGGGGGGCTCCAGAACGAAGCGGACCGGACTGGTGCCTTGTAATGAGCCCCGGGTGTAGCCGCCGGGGATACGCAGATGGATCTTGCGCGGCGCGTGCGAGAGCTGCTCTCAGAGGATCCGTTGGCAGGCGCCCTTGTCAGCTCGCTCACAGGTGGTGATGCGGCAGAGAGCTCTGCTGGGGAAGTTGCGGGAAAAAGGCTCTGCATGCGATGGATGGTTACACGCAACGTAGGCATAAAAACCGGAACA